AATCTAAACATACTCTTAAGCTTACTTAAAATGTATAACAAACAACGTTAAATTAAAATACAATTTCAATCCTACGAGGAGGAAAGCTATGAACTGAATTCAAGTAGTTCATTGTCTATTCTATCTGTCCTTTAGCACCGACTCAGTCCATTGTTTACTTTACGTGCTCGACAATTATTAGAACATAATTTATGTATTTAAACTTCGGTCAGACCGATATGAGCGCTAGACCAGAATCCAATATCATTATCACCATCATTCATTTTTTTTCGTCAGCACGCTCAAAGAAACATCTAACCTTAATAAACAACCACACTAAAAAAAGCAGAAAAACAGAGAAGCCGACTTGTGAAAGTTGCATAAAATAGGACAAAAAGTAAGAAAGTTGTGCATTTTGTTGTCAAGTTTTGATCACTATGGGCACTGCAGCATTTCAAATTAGCTAATGTCACTGTGACGAAGTGCCGTTTAATTGTCTTAACACACAAAAGGGTCAATAGACAAAGTGTCAATTTTTCAAGATTCATCACTCAGACTCGGAGGATCTTTTCTTTTTTCTTTTTCTAGAGTTGTCATTAAATTACGTCAAAACCCAGAGACCAAAATTCAATTTGAGATTTGCATACATTTTGTGATCTCATAATATTTCCGACATTCAAAACCCTCTGATTTTCTTGCTTTTACACAAATAAACCTATTTTTTTTCTTTAATAAAATCATCTTTATTCAATATTGCTTTCGACTTATAACATAACAAAACATAAATGAATATAGATACCTAATATAACCAATAGAATCGACAACAAAAATATAGCTGATTATACAAGACATGGTGGTACCTTTTTTTATATATTTTTTTAAAGCAACACAGTGTTTTTCCACCTATTATCAAATGATACAAATTTGTTATTTTTAACATAAATGTATGTTACTTCCATGTCATCTTGCAGGTCCAATCCAGGCTGACAATGGTAAGAATAGCCCACCCTCTATATGCAATTATCAACTTCTCATTCATAATGCAGACGGTCGCGGTAATGAAAAAGATAGAAAGGTCAATGCCTCGGGCCAGAATCTTAAACATTTCAAAGACATCGTCAATTCTCAGATACAAAAAAGACCAACCCTTGATGATGAGACAGATACGCCACCTCGGAGCAACAAGTTCGTGATCCTAACTACAGTGAACGCAGAGTTCGTCGACATTGCCGAGAATTGGTTGGAAAGTCTTCGACGCTTGGGAATCCGGTACAACATCACGATGGTCGCGGAAGACCAGGACACCTTCGAGTACTTCTCTATCAGGGCCAACAGAGAGTTCCGGGTGCTTTACCAGAAACAGTTTGCGTTTAACTTCACCCGGCGGTACAGCCCTGCCAAATTGTACGAGGAGGTGATTCGTTGCAGGACCGTGTACATCAGGACTTTGCTGGAGCAAGGGAACGACGTGTTGCTGGTGGATGTTGACACAGTGTGGATCAAGAACCCGGTTGATCTGATCTTGAAGGAGTACGCCCTCTACGACATATGGCATGCCCAAGGATACCCAGAAGGCATGCCGTGCCCATGCTTCATGTACATGAAGTCGACTTCTGAGGTCGTTGCCATGGTGAGGGAATGGGTCAAGCGATTGGAAAATCATCGCGGAAGTAGTTTGGAGTCGGACCAGGTTGCTTTGATCAACGTTTTGCCCCTCTTCCCGGCTATTCCAATTAAGAAGATGAGCATTGAGAAATTCCCACCCGGTTTTCATTACTTTAATTGGGCGTGGTTTGCGCTTCACAAAAACGAGGTGTATGTTGCTCATGCAAATTATTTTGGGCGCCATGATGGAAAGAAAAAGAAGCTTAAAGAATTCGGTCTTTGGATGCTCAATAATTGACATTAACTTTGATCATCGTTTTAAAATATAGTAGAACCTGTTCTTTGATCAACAAGATGGTTTAGTCAGTCCAATTATGGAGTGAAAATTCACTAGACAATTATTTGAAATGATTTATTTAACTCCAATGTTTACTCCCATACTTTAACTCAAATCTTGGCATTAATCGATAACCGTAAGTCAAGCAAGGTAAAACACTTCAAGATCTATAATACACGGCATTGTGAAACTATTTCGAATGGTACGTTGTATGTGTATATGGATAGGGGGGGGGGGGGGGGGTCGCTCTCATGCACAATGAACTACTACCCAGCCGTGTCCATCAACTTCTGAAATGGTCTCTAATGGCGTATCGCACCTTTTGTTTTGGTTTTGGTGCGATCAGTGCTTGCAAAACACAATTTTTAAAGAAAAACGTCGACGACGTCGTGCACCTTTCGACCCCTTATCTGGACGCGGGTGCGTAACATGTTGAGAGTGACCCCCCCCCCCCCGGGGGTATGGATGGACGGAGGATGGGACCGTCCGTAATATAATTTAAATAAAATTATTAAAAAAAACACAACAAAGGCAGGGTATTTTACCAACATCGATACCACAGCTTTAATGTATTTTTAATTGCGTCATTGTTCGATGAAGGCGTACACAGAGCGATTGTTCGGTTCCTGTACCAAAGCATCATCACGCCGAGTGTCATCGGTTGGTGATGTATTATGGGACATGGCTGTCGACAAATCGTGCCATTCTGAGCAGCAATTATACGTAAATCCAAAGTTGTGTCAGTAGAATATACCCTGCCTGTGTCACGACGGCTAAAATCATAAACTCACAACGGCTCATTCTGAGCAACATACGCAAAGAGGAAGTTTGTACTGTCAATAGAATACCCTGCCTTTAATCTTATATTTTCATTACCGCCATAGTGATAAACTCACAATCATTTTCACATCGTATAATATAAGGATGTATCATGAAATGAAAATAATTCGAATGATGTTTATGGTAATAAAATTAAATTTTGTAGCTAAAATGTAATAACATTATAAAACAAGAAACAATCCAATTAAGACTCATTGTGAAGTTTAAAAAAATGGAAAAGAAATACAAAAATTGTATTAAGAAAATGTTCATATTCATAATAATATCATATACTATTTATGGTATTTGCTGATAAATAAATATGGTATTGCAACCCATATGTAAGATTGTCGTCGAAGTTTGCTTATTTCAAAGTTGAAGAGTGAATCAATATGCCCTGAAATTATTATTTTCAAATTAGAATAGCTTTCCTGACATTCGAATGCATTTTTACACATTTTGCATTGACAATGATCAGAGGATTTTGTTTATTGTGAAATGATTACACAAATTACTAATAATAAATCCTTTTCAGGGCGGTTACAATACGTAATGGTTTTGTCAATAGAAACCGTATACGGATTGGGCAATACATGTCACTGTCCCGTTCGCGTCATTTTTTTTTTCTGCGGCACAGATTAGGGCTTTAAAAAAAAAAAAAAAGAGGTCTTGATTTAGCCTAACCCTAACCCTAACCCTACACTTTCCCATAGGCTCAACACGCACATAATCCCAATGTGTGCCGCAGAAAGAAAAAATAACGCGTCCCGTTCGCGCAAAAATTGGCGCACATAACGCACATGAGTACTGAAATTTCCTTTGGGTCGATTTTGATACATGATGCAAGTATAGACATAAAGTGTGCAGTTCATTATTTTTCGCTATACTGCCCAGCAGTGAGTAGCAAATTTGATGCCTGCAGGTTAGACCAATTAATCAGACGCCTAGTATAATTATAGCGGTATATGAAAATGTATAAATTTAATGTGCCGCCATCATGTGACACTTTCATCAGTATCGACCAACTTTTCTGTATTCGTGCACGGACCAAACCAACTGTTCCACTTCTCACGTCTGATATCGACCGAAATTTGAGTAAAGAGAAGCGATAACTTCAGTCGGCTTGCGGTGTACGCTGCATTGTTGATTCCATCCCATGACATGCGCTTGGTGCATAAATCTAGCAGACAGAATCTGGAATGGATTGATGAAATAAGAAGAGAGGGGATTAGTAGAACACTCCTAGTGTCATATTTTTAGGACAAATACCTTATCAAACCACCTCTAGGACTACAATATGCTCAGACATCTACATCAAGCCTTATAGTGATTGTAAAGAGGATGGATGGAAGTTTAGGGGCTCAAGCCTTCCCCTCACTTAAAAATGAATGCAAGAATTCCCAAAGCCCGGCCCCCTCCCCCCCCCCAACATAAAAACGAATAAAAATGGCTCCGAATAGTCTCATTGGACAACGCCCCCTATCGTCAGAGACCAGCAGCCTAACATGTTAGCCTACTGACTTTTACAAACACAAAAAATCGCTAAAAATTCATTTGACACTAGCTCTTTCATTGGAACCCTCATGTCGCATTGACTTTTGAAAGTCCACCCACCGTAATTTGGTCAAAATAGGTCGCTAGCTCGCCATTGCCTATATAACACATGTGAAACAGGTCAACTTTGGCTGCAATTTGACACGCGATTGTAAGGTTATAGGTCAAACACACGAAGGATAACAAGCATGAATTATCATAGATCAGTTCTGATCGGTTCATTATGTGCATTTCAGCCAACCCCCACCGTAATTTTTCCATTTAGTCATAGACAAGCAATTTGCCGAGGTAAGCAAAAACATGAATATTCATGATCGCCTTGGACTATTCGATTATTTACAAAGGGGTGCAATTGTGCACCACATCAAACTACCCTGCTTTAAGTCAAGTATTTCATTGTATTATGTAGTTTGGTAGGTTTATTTTAATAACTGTTTAATTATCAGATATTAATGATAGTTTAAAGATATGGAAAATGTTCTTGTATTTTATATTTAGCAAAGCAATCTCACATACAAATTCACTACCAAGTGTCGTCTAATCCGCCGATTGCCGTCTGCTATATACGTCCAGCGAGCGAAAATGAGACAACCGGAGCAATATGAGTGCTCCAAATTCAAATTGTTATTGTCATTGCATACCGCCAATGGATCTATGAACATTACAATTAATGATAAAGTTCAGTAAAATAATGCTATATACTCACGCCTCATCGCACATCTCGTTTTGTGTTTTCTTGGTATGGTTGAGCGTCCGATAGAAGCCCTCTCGTAGGTCACGTGTTGGTTTATAGCCGCTGCTATACAGTCGTTTTAATAAATCGTCATCCTCTCCACCCCACCCCCAGTAGAAATTAGAATAACCATTCGATTTCGTCATCTGTTCTTCTGTAACCCCGACGACGCCGCCGAACAGGAGTGCGTATGCCGGTCTGAAAAGATAATGTGATTAACATGATATCAACAACTTTCGAGGAATCTCAGCTCAAGCGCGATTTTAAATACTATTGTACAGTGTGAGTCAAAAAAAAGTTTACACCTAGAAAATTGTTAATTATTTTTAAAATCATTTATGAACAGTAAATTATTATACAACTTATGAAAGAGTGTTTTATCCCAAATTATTTGGTATCATTTTTGTGTGGTATGTGTTCACGCTTGGATGAACAGGAGGCATTGTTTGCGAGAGTGCAAAAATCGACTTGCGCCAAAATTGCTTATGTGATGTTTAGATAAAACAATTGGGATTTGGGTATTAAATCGGTTTTTGCAGATCCAAATAACATCCCTAACAAAATTAATCATGCCACAAATATCAAATATCGAATATCAAATATCAATGGCATGATTAATTTTGTTAGGGATGTTATTTGGATCTGCAAAGACCGAATTAATACCCAAATCCCGATTGTTTTATTCAAACATCACATAGGCAACTTTGGCGCAAGTCGATGTTTGCACTCTCGCAAACAATGTCTCCTGTTCATCCAAGCATGAATACATACCACACAAAAATGGTACCAAATGATTTGGGATAAAACACTCTTTCATAAGACATATAACCAGGCGCGTAGCCAGAGTTTGATGTTTGGGGGGGCACATACATGTAATCGATCGAGGTCAAAAAAAGGGGTCTACAAAATTTCAACCGATCCTGGAAATTTTAGGGGGGGCACGTGCCCCCCCCCCCCGTGCCCCCCCCCCCGTGCCCCCCCCCCCCCCCCGTGGCTACGCGCCTGCATATAACAATGTCATGTTCATCGATGATTTTTTTAAAAAAAAATAATTAGCAAATTTCTAGGTGTAAACTTTTTTTTGACTCACTCTGTAGAGGGAGCAAGTAGCTACAAGTAGGACAGTGTGGCTTTAAACCTCATTTCATATTCAAGTGTCCTTTTTGCCCCTTCAATAATGAAGTCGAAACGTAGTTGGGCAATCTAAAATCACACTATTTCAATGGTTTACGAAATTATAATGGACATCCATAAGTGGTACATACTTAAATTCCATCTCCTCTGGCCTGGCACAGAAATGTCTAGGCATGCCATCGCATCCGTAGTAGTTTGCCCCTCTCATTGGTATCTGGTCTATATCATGAAATACAACGCAGTCCCACCGACCAAACCTGAGAGCTTCTAGATACCCGATGTTTTTCATCATCCCGCGGTTGAAAATCATAGTATTGTCCTGTTGAAATAAAATAAAAACTGGCTAGTAAATAAGTAAAATGAATGACGATATGAATTGATTAATGACTAACTGATGAATAAGTTATTAACAAAATAGATAAATTCACCAATCAATGAAAAATAAGGATGATAACAATATAAATAATAACAATGATAATGATGATAATAACAAATAATGATGATATAAATAATAACAACAAATATAATATTAATAATGATAGTAAGAATAACAACCATAGCCATGATAATTTATACTATACCAATATTATTACAATGATAACGACTATAGTAATACTACCACTACTTATACTAGTTATAATAATAATAATAACAATAATAACAGTGATAATAATAATAATGAAAAGGAAAAAAAAGTAAAGACGAGAAAGAGAAAAGGGATAAAAATGGACCAAAGAAGAAGAAGAATATTTCAGTTCGTTGTTAGCTTTGGGATATAATTATGACCCCCCCCCCCCAAAAAAAAAAAAAAAAAAAAATCCACGGACATTTTACACATGGAGACGTCCTACTCTGAGCATGTTAGAATAATCACTGCCAAAGTGATGGAGGTGCTTCATTAACACCTTTTGTTTGCCCTAATGAGAAGGATACTTCCACCTGTGTATCAGAGAACGTATCGTCGGTGAATAAATGAATAATGATTACATAGCTTTCACGAGCACGTATCCAGTATTCGTCTCGATGGGTTTTCCAAGTTTGTAGACAAAAAAAAAAAAACTTTCTCTGCCCATGCGAGAAAAGACGCGGGAAAAAGAAATAAAGGATGGCATACCTGTTCTGAAACGAATATCCGAAATTCGAGCATTTGCAACTTGAGAAGAGGTACAAGGTTTCGTATTAAAATCGACAGATGGTTGTGCCGATTTCTGAATGGGATAACGATGGCTACCTGCAAGTAATTAAACAAAACAAAAACAAAAAACATTTAAAGTACAACCGAACAGTATTGTGGGTGACATGAGATTGCGTAAATGCCATTTCCATTATGAATTTTCACATTGTAATTGCCACTGTCAGTGTCAAGCCATTGTAATGAGCATCCATTATTTCCTGATCAAACGAAACTTAGGGTGGGGCACATCGCATGTTCCTAATGCCCCCCCCCCCCCAATCGCCACTAAGAATTACACCTACATGTATCCATAACTCTTCCTCTAGTTGTAATAGTCTAAAGGGAGTTTGATGAATTATTTTCACTACCTGCACTTCTTCAACATCCGCATAGTAGGCCTATATACGGTGCCCAATAAACTGGGAATTATTTCTTCTGACCTTTTGTCATGATATGAGTGTGTCAATATGCTTTATTCTTGACTGATAAACTTTATATTTTCTCACAAATATTGTTGATCAATCTCAAAGACTCTTTTGATTTTCAAAAATGTTATCTACGCATCAAACGAGTCATAGAGATTGAGCAATAAAGTTATGAGAAGATATAAACTCTATGAAGAATAAGTCATGGACATAAGCAAGATAAGGGTATTTTAACTTTACAGGCAACAGTGTTCTTCACCTTCCATTTAGGCTCACAATCCAGCGGCACCCAATGTCCGCCCGCGTAATACGTGTAATTGCCTATTCGTATTCCCCTCTCGTTCTCTCGCCTGTATCCATCGTGGTTAATGAAACGACTGGACGGGAGTCTGTTCATGACATGGTCTAAGATGGCGCGCATTCTAGCCACATAGAGCACGACACTCGTTCTCTTCTTGCCGAAGATCGACTCTTCTACGATCCCGAGATCGATCTCCTCGGTGTAAGCATGGAATCGGCTGTTGAGCTCTGCAAGCGTGATATTGAAGAAAGCAAAAGAAAACAAAAAGAGGGGGGGGGGGGGGCAATCAAAGTTATTTTTTGGAAAATTAATTGTCTATAATGGGCCGAGACACAACGTATTATATCGACTGTTTCAGCCTAATCACAACAAATGTTTATGCCTAGTATGTTATCAATAACAATAGACTGAATATTTTAAATATATAGGCCTAAACAAATATACATATCCTTTATAAATGTGCGCGGAAACGCCACACCCGTACATCCACACATGAACAAATAAATACTCAATATCATCTCGTCCAAAAACTATCAATCCTTCTTTCTTTGTAATCAACAAAAAACAAAAATCAACAAAAATCGATGTCTTGATTAGTTTTATTAATTTGTTTTCTTTTTGCTTTACAGAGTAAACCAATAAAAGAGCGAGAATCAATTAACCCTCGATCCAATCACAACCCAGACGTCTATTAATTTTCTTTCCATTTTTATTTCCTGTTGCCATTTCAAGACAGGATTTATTTTGAGGGCTGAAATAATCAAATGATGGCAACACTGCTACACTGGTCTAATAAATGTAATACATGCATCTCTCAAAACAATATGCATGGGTAAAAACTTTAGGAAAGTTGAACAAGTGGCAAATTTTGATCGGACTCATGAAACAGTGATTTTTTTAGCCTCTCATTATGTTGTCAATAAGCTAAATTTGCTTAGTTTGTTAAATACCTGGCATCAAATGCATTATGATAATGCAAAAAATAAAATAAAATGGATCTACTGTGTGCAGAATTTGTTCCTTTTTACTCAAACATGTTTTTTAGGCCTAATTTGGAGATCTCACAATCATAACTGGTTGAGCCAAGCCACAAAATATGAAATGGCTGTGGGTTGCGTAGTTTGATCGAGAAGTAGCTTCACTATTCCCCCCCCCCCCACTCCGTGAACGGAGGGATACCATGCGTGTTCCCCAAAAGTCCGGTAAAGGGGTACTTTTCACGCACCAAAGTCCGGCTCGTAGTACACAAAAATCCGGCCCGTATTGACTTTACACACACGGACTTATTACTCTCTAAAAAAATCGAGTGATCACGGACGTCACTCCTCTGGAGAGTGAAAATGTAGTGAAAATAGAGTGAACATTCACTCTTTTTTTCTTAGAGAGCACTCTAAAATCAATCGATTTTCACTCCTAAACAAGTGACCACGGACGTCACTCCCAAGAAAGTGAAAATAGAGTGAAAATTCACTCTTTTTTTAAGAGAGTAGGGGGTGTTTTGAAAAGGAGGTAGCATGCATAGTTTATGCGTTCCCTAAATAACACTGGTGGGGGGGGGGGGGGGGACTCTTCACGCTCTTCGATTGATAACACCGTCTCTGATTACAAAATATAATCTTCGAAGCATTATTAATGTTGCCATAATTTATGGTTCATGAGAAAAATAAAGCTCACCTTTTCTAAATCCAAGCTTGCAAGATTCGTCCGTGATCTTAGTCCCTTTACCTAAAGCAGAATTAGAAAGAAAAACAAGGAACAGGGAACCGTTTAAAAAAACGTGTCATCAGTGACATTTTGTGATAAGCAAGGGAAATCCTTGCTTCTGATTGGCTATCAGCAGAGTCGTTACTGATATTTGTCATATGTAATTGGAAAAAGGCTTTGTGAAACGGGTCCCAGGACTTATTTCCTATTTGATAAAACTGTGTTTTAGTGCACAATACTCTCTCTCTCTCTCTCTCTCTGGTGTATTGCCAATTTTAGGCCCACACGCCAGAGCCTTATTTTGGTTCTTTCTGCATTACTCTCTATATTTAGATTCCTTCTTTATTATGTCATACCATGTGTCACTGTCCTAGTCTGACACCGTCCTTTGGTAGGTGAAACATCATATGATTTTTTTTAAAACATTTTATTTTTCCTTTTCATATTCCTTTCCTTATTACCTACAAAATGAGGTAATTAGCATTGAAAAAAAAAATCTAATAACAAAACTATAATTAACAGAGCTCGAGTTCTTACAACACAGGCTATTAGCATTCACAAATATAAAGTTCAAGTTCACTTTATTCAATACTTTCATTAAAAATATACAAAGGAAAACAAACATATAAAAGTTGAAATATAATACATGTATCAATATATAACATGAGAATAACACAAGTGGAGAAGACATGAGGAATAAGGGGAAAATATTCTAAACATGTACATTAATGAAAGTATTTGGAGACTAGACAGGAAGGCCGGGCCTAATGTAAAAGTCTGTCTCCAGTAATTGTATAAAACACTTAGTACATTATTTGAATTTTGTATTTGTTATAAAAGGAAGAAAAAAGGAAATAATTTGCATTCACACATACACTCTCTCCCATACACACCAACACACACTTTTCAGTCTGAAGAACATTAAGAATAAAGGTTATTGCACTATTGAGTATTGTCTTAGCAAATACAGTTTAAATTTTCTCTTTAAACTATTTAGTGATGAGCTCAGTCGAATATCTATCGGTATGTCATTCCAAATTTTGGGACCCCTGAAAAAAATTGTATTTTGGAAATATACATATTATATCAAACATAGTAATCAACTAATAACATTTTGTAATATCAATTTGTTTTGTATTTATAAACCAATGAGACATTACTTATGATATTCTGCATGGTAATGTTAAATACATAAAAATATATGTTTACATATTTGTAAAAGCCCTAGTTGCTATTTTTAGCTTTGTGTCTTCTTTCTCTTTCATTCCTCCTTTCATTGTTCTCTGTTTCTGTCTCTCTGTCTCTCTCTTTCTCTTCTACCTACCCTTTTCCTGCCAGCTGCCTTCCGAAGACATGACGTCATCGTATTCTGTGCCATTGGATTTTCTGTACAACCCTGCATTCACATCTGCCCTTGTTCTGCCTGTTCTGTTATGCCGCCCTCTATGGTAATGGAATGGACCAGTTCCGTTCTCATTTGTTTTGCGCACTGGTTGCTTAATATTCCATTCTATGGCATAATTCAATGATAACAAAAAAAATATAGAGCACACATTATTAATGCGAAAGTATAGGCCTAAATTAATATCTTCACAAGGAAACAAAAATGTAAAATAATTTGTCTGTAATCTGCTAGTTCGTGTCCATTGTCATAATAGAAGATTAATCCCCTTAATTAATTCCCTTTATTTCCCAATTCACCAATACTATCCTGATCCTTGCAATGTTGAGCTAACATATCGAATTATACATGATCATTACTAGGAGTTATAAACCTGCATCGCAAAAGAATGCGCATATGACAAGACCCAAGGTATAGAGTTTCTATACGATATGTTATTTTAAGACTGTTAGACGCTGATTATTCATCTTCATAATATATGTATTTCAAATCCTCCTGGTTATGCACTGTTTTAGAGGCATTAAAGGAAGATGGTCGTCATTTTCCGTGTGCAGAAGGTCATAATTTGCTGAAACCAGACGTTTTGGAAATACCATTAGTAGGTGTATAAAGGTGCGTTTAAGCTTAAATTTTGAAGGCAGAATGAGCGATTTGTAACGCTCATCGTAAACGCTCATCGTAATCGCAGTTCCACGGTGTACTGTTTATGCTCACTTCTCTGGCTCCTCCAGGCAATTCTCCCTGGGTGGCCTTAATCGGCCTTGCAGCTGGATTCGCAAGCCTGCACTATGCATGCTATGTAGACCCACTAGAGGTCAGTGCGTTGACCCCATTTAAACGCGTTTACAAATTGTAAACGCATCTTTTAGTGAGTTTACGATCGGCGATCGTGATCGCCGTTTTTCGGTGATTCTACAAAAGTGAGAAAGGACGCATTCGTGTTTTAAACTAAACGCGTAACAGATGCCTGATTCTTACCAGAAAAAGTTAAGCATAAGCACGCCCCAAGTCTCACATACAGCAAACCCGTAGTCCCACCAAGAAAATAATACCCCCCCCCCGCCAAGTCTGTCAGAGAGTCTTTTGGGGAGGGATATATTTAAGATAACGAATTTACTATACAAATTAGATGGGGTGGGTTTAAAACGCAGAGCATTGCTTGAAGCATGTTTGTCATAAAATTGAAGGCTAATCCTGTTAATTGACAACACCTGTTATTTGGTAAACACCCGAGTGGTGTCGAATTCCCCACGAGAGGCCACTATTATGCGTCTCGTACATATTAAGTAAAGGATTTCTTACTAAAACTGGTTTGTTTTAAAGGCCCACTGCACTACTTGTAGCTACTTGCGCCCTCCTGTAAACTACGGCAGATAAGCTTTAATATAGGCCTATACCTTTGTATATAGTTTCAAAACCATTATTGTCAACTGAGTCAATTGATTGTCGGAATTGGAGACAAACGAGCAAAATAAATATGAAATGTATATTATTACAGAATCCAATGAGTAGGATCTACAAAAAAAGGAAGAAAGAAACTTATTGATCATAATGATGATAAAGATTGATATGGTGATGATAAAAACAATAAGAACACTAATTTTAGTACTACTACTAATGATAATAAAGATATGAATACATATTATTATAATGGTGATACAAAAATAAAATAAAAATTAATATTGATAGCAATAATTGTAATTCCAAGTATGATAATAATAATAATAATAATAATAATAATAATAATAATAATAATAATAATAATAATAATAATGTTAATGATAATAACAGTAATTATGATACTGATACTAATGATAACATTAATAATGATGATAACAATGATAGGCCTAAAATTCACATACCTTCAGGGCCTTCTAGCAGTTTTCTCCTGAGTTCAAAATCATCATGATATCCGAAGAAAAATGAGTACAAAGCACAGATGAATAGGATAGTGATCCACGCAAATGGGTTATATACCGTCCTTCTCACGTTTCGCCAGCAAAACCTGCAAAAATAATAATACAAATAAAAATTGTATTTCATTATTTCATGCAGCATATTACGTGATGTTTTTAAAGGCCCCCTGCGCTACTAATAGCTACTTGCGCCCTCTATATAGCAAACAGTGCCTAAGTGGTGACCGTTGGCCCCCATGGTCCCTTTTTTTTAATGTAACTTAATTGAGAGCTGATTTGATGAGATAACCACCTGTCAGTGACCATGCAGGGAGGTATAATCCCTCTTGGTCAAACTAGTGCAGATATGCTTTAAAGACAGGACATTTTCCGAAGAAGTCATAGCACGGAAGATGAATCACAATTTAGAGATGTGTGTCATCCTTTGCTTAAATATTGTGCTAACTATACACTACATTATAATCATGTAAATTAAGAGCCCCTCCCACCCCGCTCCCCCAAATATAAAGTTAATGCTCCGCCCCTCATATAATAATACCATTATTGGTGTCAGGGTTATTAAGGGAAGGAAGCGAACGCGACACTTCCGGAATATACGCGATATCTTTCTGGTACAGGTTGGCACTCTAACAATACTGTATATTATTCCCGCCTCAAAAATAATACATGAATGAGTGATATGAACGAGGTATCGCATTCTATTTTATTCACAGGAGTATGCACCTATTATTAGCAATGTGTACAATTATTGGGAACATGTGCTGTTGCGTTCAATAAACTTTTGCCCCAAATCAATACAAACTGCCGGATTGCATGTTTTACTTTCTCCTTAATTCTTAATTTTGTTCGTTTTCAATTATGCATTGTATTGGAAATGTTCATCTATTGTCATAAATTATTCAATTCTTAAAACTGTAATGAATTAATTACTTTGTAAACTGAATTGCTCGGGTGACTACGCATTTCAACAAAGTGACTCTGGGCTTGAATGCTAATGCATTTGTATACAAGTTTCCTTAATCCATTGTATTTTTAAATTCACCCTCTAAATTATGTTTTTCTCTACTGCTACGGTTTTTTCAAAATCTACAATGTCTAATTTTATCAGGAACCTATAATATACAAGCACTGATTTTCAATAGGTTCCTCACATTCCCCTTAATATATCATATAAGATAAGTATCATTGAGACGTGCTCATACTATATTTAGATATACATGTATGTAATTTATATTTTATATATCTGTCTATATTTTGTATGAAATATGGAACAAATAAACGTGAAACTTGAAACTGGAATGTTAAAGGACAACTGGCAACAAAGATGACTAGAACGACGATAAAAAGAGAAATAACAGCATATATATATATATATATATATCAATTATATATATAAATGAATGAATAAATAAATGATTAAATGAATAAAACAAATAAATAGACCAATAAATGCATAAATAAATGAAGACATAAATCAATCGATCAATCGATGAAAACATCAATTGATTGATTGATTAATTGATTAATTTCTTAATAAATAGATAATCAAATAAATGAATCAATTTTAAACAAGCAAGAGACAAATACAAACAACATTCTACATGATTAATGGAGAATAGATAAAGAACTCGCTTCCTGGCTTTTGTCATGTTGTCAAAGTGGAGGTTAAACATTCTCACGGGGTAATTGTAATACCTTTGTAATACATTGTAAAAGAAACGCCGGTGTGGAATCGATCAGAAAAAGTTGATGATGTAGCATATATTGCTGTGTACTGCAAGGTTCTGGAATCATCCGAATAATAATAAATTTGGCACAGTCTTAGTAAAAGTAACAAGCACTGTGCACAGAAACTTGAGATAGATGTATATGGGATTACACACACCTGTGGCATAAACAAAAAATTAGACCCACATTTTTAATCTGTTACGTGTCACATTATAAAGGCATCTGATGAGCCATGCTTTTCAGGGAACATTTTTACTCTGATGTTCTTCCACACTTGCATAATAACAATGAAAACGCTCACAGCTTATTTTTCACCTCTCAGAACTCAACTTTCTCTTTAGTTATCGGAAAAATCATGGTCTCGATTATAAAAGCCTTAAAAGATACTGCCGACATTTTTTTTGTAGGAATGTTATAGCGTTACTACAGAAATGAAATACCTCATCGTATTGCACATTGTGCCAATATTGCACGGATATGATTCCCGGTCTATTGAAGCTTGAGTCATTAGAGCATATGGAGTTGAACAATCAAAAGTATATCTTGACGAAAGAAAAAAAAACGGTTATAGATGTAGCTTTTGATTAAGGCTAATTATGAATTGGAAAACAATACTCACATTCCGAAGATGGTTTTATGAAGACTATTTCGATGATGGTTATTTTACCACATAGTATGGTCGGTTTAATACTGAGATCTTGTTGTGAAAGTGTATCATGCGATCTCGTCCAGTGCAAGCCGCGGTAGCACAGATTGATACCGTTCTATTTCGGCAAGAGTTGTTGATCACAATGAAAGTTGAAAAAAGGGATACCGGCTTCTAAGTAATAGATACGCAAAATGGCTCAAATTCTATATCCTGGTGATTGTTTATCCTGCCTTGTAGTTTCATAATGTCCTTAAAGGTACTATGTCTCATTTGCAGACCAAAAAATGAAAAGGGTAATTTTAATGACATTTGAAAGATAATACCAATTTTGATCTTCCCACAACCAAAGGGCTTGAAATTATCTTTTGTATATGAAAATCCTGTCTTGTAAATGTCCTTCAATGTACTATGTCTCATTTTCAGACCCAAAAATGAAAAGGGTAATTTTAATGACATTTGAAAGATAATACCAATTTTGAACTTCCCACAAACCAAAATGGCTTGAAATTGTCTGTTGTATATGAAAATCCTGTCGTGTAGTTTCGTAATGTCCTTCAAGGTATATGTCTCATTTTCAGACGAAAAAATAAAAAGGGTAATTTTAATGACATTCGAAAGATAATACCAATTTTGGACTTCCCACAAACCAAAAGGGCTTGAAAATGTCCTTTGCATGAAAATAATGGCCGTTAGTAGTCGAATCGAATTTAGCGATTTCAGTCGTTTAATTAAATAGTCTGATTTTCGGACCCTCGTACCGAATGGTCGTACCTTTTGTGCTGCACAAAAAGTAAATCAGTTTAATTTTGGC